AAAACCCTAACCGAACCTAACCTAACGCCTAACGATTGTCTTGTGTTCGGTAAGGGGAATAGTTAAGCGCCTAACGAGCGCCTGTTTCCTTTTCGGGATTATTCCCGCGTTCCACTTCGAGTGGTACACCGGTGCCTTCGGCACCAGTGTCGGTGGTATCGGCTTCAGTCTAACGCCGATACCATGCTCGGCTTCATCGGCTTCGGTGAAGCCGGTATGGGTCAATCCCACGCCACTCGGCTTGTGAATCCGAGCGCTTCGGACTTTGCGTCAAGCAGGTCGGCTTTTAAGCGCCCGTCGGCGCTTTGAATCCGATTTAGCGCAAGCGGCTGTGTTCGCCGTGTCAGCATTCCACGGAATGGCATCGGCGAAGTCCGGGACTTCTTTTCCCGCGATCCAAAGGTAATATGCGCAATGTACTGATGATGACTCCTTAGTCGAAACGCCTGCCATTCCGCACACCGGGGGGCAACGTTTACAGCGCAGCGGCTAACGAGTCGTACAACGAAGTTTCGGAATCGACGTAAGTCTTTAACCAACCTAACCTTCTAACTTCTTCTGCTCTCAGATGGCCTCTCGAGGCTCTACACCCGGGGCTGCGCTCTCGAGGCTCACCCTCGAGAGTACCCTTACTCGGATGGGCTCCCCTGTCCCCTCCGCGGTGACGGGGGCAGTCGAACAACCCGCGGCTGCGGAGGGGGCGTCGAAAGACACCCTTCCCCTCATGCGCGCCGGCACCTTCCAGGAGGTGTTGGCGGCCGTCCCTACTCCATACAGGACGGCGGTTGAGGCCGACCTTCGGGCGGTCTGGGGCCATGCAGGCAGTCTTGCCTCTTGCATGGTTGCCAAACGGCAGTTGGCCCGGCACGTCACCAACGGCGCCGCGGGCAACCCCTCCTTCCCCTCGTCCTTCGGGGGTATGAAGGTTCCGGACGTCCCTATGTCCGATGTGTTTGCCAAGTCCCCGGAGGGGGCTGCGTCGCGCCAGAAGGTGCGCGACGACGTGTTAGCGGGCAAACAAGCAGTGCTCAAATCCGTCGTCCTCGCAAGGGACGCGGAGGAGAAGTTTCTGCATGGCTTGATTGACAAGGGCCGGCGTACAAAGCTGATGCTTGGTCTGATAAAGACCGTGTACGACCGCGATGTCAAGCCATTCGCAGTGGTACCAGGGGCGGCTAGTGGTGATACGTTCGATGAGGACGCTATGCACCTCGATGATGTCGACCTCGCGGTGGCCGAGTGGGTCGTTCCCTCGGCCGTCGTTAACGAGTACCGGCGCGCTCGTGCTGTCGTCAGCACGTTGATCGCCAGGATCCTCCAGTTGCGCATCGCTGAAAAGCGAGCATGGGAGGATCGCGAGCGCGCAAAGGCGGAGACGAAGAAGGTGGCCGACGCGGGGCTGGGCGCCCCCGTCACACAGCAGACCGTGCAGAAGCTCGTCGCTACGCAGGTCAAGGCCGCCCTTCGCGACAAGAAGTCGGCGAAGCTCGCGAAAGCGAGTTCTAAGTCTGGTAAGGCTGGTGCGTTAAGTCGTCGTTATCTACGGCGACGCACCCTCGCTAACGGTGTTGTTTCTGTTAGGGGGAAAGGCCAAATCCTCGGGCAAGGGCCCCGTCGCTGCGAAGAACAAGTCGAAGACTCACAAGCGGAAGCGCAGCGGCGGTTCAGGCGAATGGCATGGCTTCAGCGGGGAGAGCAGCAGCAGCAAACCTCGCGCGAAGAAACGTCAGCGTCGGTCGTCGTAGGAGGGCGTGGAAGCGGAGTCGTCGCCGGGATATTGGGTGCGCAATGGAGGTACGAATCACCTTCCTCATATCCTGACGCCCTGTTAACTCTTCCCCTGGACCTCAGGATTCGAATATTGCATACGCGCGTCGATCTCGACGTGATGGACTCAGCCAGATTCCGCGTAGGCATACATGTGGGGCCGGATGTACAGTTTGATACGGAATCGATGTACATGAGTATCTCGGGAGGACTTAACTATTTAATGCCTATGTCTGTGAACTACGGCGCCGTTTTGGCAGCGTATAAGGCGTTCATGCGCACCGTTCGATGGGCGGTGTTTTGGAGTGAGCGACCCTCAGACAAACCGTATGACCGAGACTACGATCTCGGGCGTGTCTCCACCCGTGAGCCGCCTGAGGCGTATGCAGAGATTGAAGCCGGCCTGTGGGACGGATGGGAATACCTCAAAACATGTCGCGATAATGTAGCGTCGAGGTCCGTAGCGTCCCAAATAGCCAGGGATCAGCGCAAGCTGTCGGCCCCCCTCGGCTTGGACCGGCTGGTTGAGGAGTGCAGGTTGAAAGGATACCTCATTCTGCAAACCGATAAGAATCTGGGCTCTGCAGTAGTCACGGCCGATTGGTACATACGGATGTGCTATAAGTACCTCAAAAACGACCGCGTTGTGAAGCTCACGACGCGTGAGGTCGCGTTTGCCAACGTTAAATGGCTTGCCGCGAAGCTAACCGACGTGCTTGACACGCACAAGGGAACGCTTGAAGGAAACCCTCAATTGAGCGAGTTCTTGCGGTCGACGGTGCCCTTGGCGGAGAAGGATGAACCCTATCTGCCAGTATTCAAAGGACTGCCTAAGGTACATAAAACGCCTTGGGCGATACGGCCTATTGTGCCGGGGCATTCGTTGGTCATGTCGCCCGCGGCGAAATTCATCTCGAAATGTTTAAAGCCGTGCATTAGGGAACGCCCTTACGTGCTGGAGAGCAGTAAGTCCCTCTGTCAGACACTGGCTGGCCTATCCCATACCCCTACTCGACGTTGGTGGTTCCTTAGTGGAGACATTGAGGCGTTCTACCCCAACGTTCCGATGGTGGACGCGTTGCGAGTTTCGGCTCAATACGTGAAAGCCAAAGGGCACCTCTCTGAGGACGAGTACCAGCTTTTCAAGTCTCTCCTCGAGCTTGTTAACCTGGGGATGGTATTTAAATTTCAATCGCAATACTACGAACAGCTGGATGGCCTGGTTATGGGCTTGGCGTGCTCCCCTGACCTCGCTAATCTGTACGCTGCTTCTTTGGAAGAAGGAACGCTCCCTGTCGTTTCAGATGATGTCGCTTTCTACCGGCGGTATCTAGACGACGTATTCGCGATAGTCTACGCCGACTCGTACGACGACGCGTTAGACATTGCCGGGCTCTTGCAGCTCGGTAAATTCAAAATCAATTGGGTGGTATCAGAAACGAGTACCCCGTTTCTCGACGTACTGGTGTATAGGGCACCGGAAACAGGGAGGATTGGTTTCTTCCCCTACCGCAAGGCGTCGAACCACCGCGAACGCATTCCGTGGGCATCGGCACATCCCCTAGATGTGAAACGAGGGACTTTTCTCTCGGAGATGTCCCGGCTAGCCTATCTCTCGAGTAATGTTCAGCATTACCAAGATGCCTTGATGGATCTTAAGGGTCTTTACCTTGGCAGGGGCTATCCGGTGAAGGTGATTAGTCGTTGGCTGCGGTCAAACGTCGCCAGACTGTGGGTGAACCGGTATACCACTGGGAGCACTAGCTCATCCGAGCAAGCGGTCTGGGTGATTAAAACGACATTCAATCCTGCACTGAGTGCGTTTAATGTTCACGAACTGTGGGACATTATCAGAAAAGCGTGGTCTCAGGCTCCGGAACCTACTGCAGGTGACGCTCCTGGAACGCCAGGTCTTCCGAGCGGTGCTTCCGCTTCGCCGACCGAAGTCAATGATCCGTTAGTTGGGGGCCCTGATGTAGCTGCGGTTGAAGGGGCTCTACAAGGCGGTGAGGCACTAGGGGAGCAGGCGAGAAGATGGTCGGCTAGATCTGCTGGTTTTCTTGATAAACGTCTCCTCTTTTCGCGGCGCAAGCCAGCGAATTTTGGAGACTTGGCACGTTCTTTGTGTCACGCTGTCCTAACAGAGGAACTCGAAAATGAACCCTACGCACCTTACTATGGTGCCTGGGAGGCGGCGAACTTACCGATGGCCTGAGCTTCGGCTTGGGCCGCATCGCCCTGCTGCTTCGGCGGCGGCGGCTTTGCCAGTGACGTTCCGGCATGCTTTGGGTTCGCCCTCGGAGTGCTCGGTGTCCAGATGACGTGGTTTTCTGCTAACCGGGGGGTAGCGCACTGCTTGAGTAACGATGCGCTAGTAGTTATTGACCGATACTGCGAACGGGTCCGGTACCCTGGCTTCGGCCGGTGGGAAAGGCGTTTAGTAGCCCTTCAGTCCGATGATGGCTTCGGCCTAGGCTTACTGCTCGGCTTTGACGAACGCTGAGTGTCGGCGCCGTGAGGCGTTCGGCATTCTCTTGTACGGGGAGTGCCTGCTGGCTGTAACCGGCTAGTTCAGGTACCCGGACGAGGCTGACTTATCTAACGCGCCGTAGTGGCTTTTTATGCCATAATGTTTGTTTTCGATCCTTAGTGAACATAGGAGCAACCGCTTCGTTCAGGTGTTTGGGATAAATCGGCGGGTTCAAAACCCTAACCGAACCTAACCTAACGCCTAACGATTGTCTTGTGTTCGGTAAGGGGAATAGTTAAGCGCCTAACGAGCGCCTGTTTCCTTTTCGGGATTATTCCCGCGTTCCACTTCGAGTGGTACACCGGTGCCTTCGGCACCAGTGTCGGTGGTATCGGCTTCAGTCTAACGCCGATACCATGCTCGGCTTCATCGGCTTCGGTGAAGCCGGTATGGGTCAATCCCACGCCACTCGGCTTGTGAATCCGAGCGCTTCGGACTTTGCGTCAAGCAGGTCGGCTTTTAAGCGCCCGTCGGCGCTTTGAATCCGATTTAGCGCAAGCGGCTGTGTTCGCCGTGTCAGCATTCCACGGAATGGCATCGGCGAAGTCCGGGACTTCTTTTCCCGCGATCCAAAGGTAATATGCGCAATGTACTGATGATGACTCCTTAGTCGAAACGCCTGCCATTCCGCACACCGGGGGGCAACGTTTACAGCGCAGCGGCTAACGAGTCGTACAACGAAGTTTCGGAATCGACGTAAGTCTTTAACCAACCTAACCTAACCTAACCTAACCTAACCTAACCTAACCCTAAGCCCCAGGGTCCGCTGAAGCCGAATAAGATCCCCGAGCGCCCATGGCAGATCATCACGACTGATATGATCGTCGGCTTGCCAAAGTCTGATGGGTTCGACTCGATCCTGGTCACCGCCGACCGCTTCACAAAGCAGGTCCACTTCTCGGCCTGTCATGAGACCCTGACGGCAGAAGGTGCGGCAGACCTGTACATCCGCGATGTGTTCAAGCATCATGGGGCCCCGGCCAAGGTCATATCAGACCGAGGGCCCCAGTTCGCTTCGAAATATCTCCATGCGGTGTATAAGGGACTGGGAATCGAGCCGGCGCTGTCCACGGCATTCCACCCTCAGACGGACGGCCAGACCGAGCGCTGGAATCAGGAGATCGAACAGTACCTGCGTGCTTTCACAAGCCACAGGCAGGATGATTGGGCTAAGCAGTTGCCGCTCGCGGAATTTGCACTGAACAACCGAGTTCACTCCGCGACCGGGCACTCCCCTTTCTACCTGCATCAAGGGTACAATCCTGAGATCCAAGTGCGGATCAATCCGATGTCCGCAATGCCCGCTGCCGCCAATCGGCTTAAAATCTTGAAGGAGATTTGCGACGATACTCGCTCTGCGCTTGAATTGTCAGCCGAGCGCATGAAAGTGTACTACGATAAGCACATGCAACAGACACCGGTCTTCGCGCCAGGGGACAAGGTCTGGCTTGATGCCCGGAACCTTAAGCTGAAACAGCTGAGCAAGAAGCTCAGTCCTAAGCACCTCGGGCCGTATACCGTGCGACGAAAGCTCGGAGACCTGGATTACGAATTAGTCCTACCGAAGTCGGTGCCGGTGCACCCGGTGTTCCATGTCTCCTTGCTAAGCAAGTACACGCGTAGCGATATCCCGGGCCGGGAGCTGGAGGAGCCGCCTGCAATCGAGGTTGAGGGCGACGAGGAGTACGAGGTTGAGCGGATCAAAGATTCACGAATCTTCCGGCGTCAGCTGCAGTACCTCGTCAAGTGGAAGGGTTATGACGACTCGCATACGTCATGGGAACCGGCGCGCAATGTTGCGAATGCGCCGGCCCTCATAGCCGACTTCCACCAGAAGAACCCGAATGCCCCTCGCCGCCTCAACGCTGCTACATTTGGTGGTCTCAACTTCCAGCCGATGCCTTTGCCGCTGACTGAAGCACGCTGCCGCTCCGGGTGGGAGATGGGCAAGGGCGCCTCGCATGAGGTCATGCGCCGTTGAGGGGGGGGTAATGTCACGACTTGGTACGGCGTCTAGCCGTTTTTTTTAATTTTTCCTTTTCGCGGGCTCGAACCCGCGACCTCTGTACTACCTGCCTGATATGGACACGTCGTTATCTACTGTACGATAAAATTAGATAGGACAGCAGCGCACGGCACAGCTCGGGCTCCGCTGACACAGCCGCTCTGACTCACCGGCCCCCGGGGCCGCGTCGGCATGCTGTGCACGGACCAGCTGCGCACGGACCAACGCGCACAGCCTGCCCTTATCTTCCCCTGTATATAAGCCAGCCTCTGCTGCCCTAGGGACCTCAGTTTCGACCTTTTGTCCCTAGGTCAGTAAGCCCTCCATTGTATTCTTCTCTTACCTTACTAACTAATATATTACTTGTCCCTAGCCTTAGGTTTGAGCCTAGCTCACCATCGCTTCGGTAAGATAAGTCGAACGCCCCCAGCATTTTGGTTTTCCCCTGTCGCTCGACCCTAAGTCGCGACAGTTCCTGTATATAATGTCGTAGATACTAGAGAGAGTTAAAGCGACCGGCTGTCCCCCACTGTGCAGCAGTGCAATGTACTCGAGGTGCACTCACCTGAAGTCTCCGATGTATTTCAAGTTGCCCTTCCGCATGTTCCATACGACTTCCTCAATTGCTCAAGCAATTCGCTTAGCCTGATGCCTTGCCTCGCCCAGCGAAAGTGTGAAGTTGACCATTACTTGCCCAACAATGACAGCCCGACGCAAGCAGCGGACAGTTGACTGATTACTGTGGTTGACTGACGAAGCCCAGATCTACTGCGTCTGGCATGCCGCGCATAGCTGTGTATCATAATGCTCTTGGTCACTGGTTTTCCATACCTTCTCCCGTCATATAACCTCTACAAGGGCATGTCCAGAAGCGGCACGAATGACTGTGCAGATGTATGTATCTCTCGTTCATTGCTAATCCTCACCTTAGAGATGGTACTCCACATGTTATAGACGCTACAGCATAGACTACAATTACACGACTGTAAGACACCACTAACTCAGAAATATTGGGCACTATCACTTTAAGCTAATAATGGACGAACGAACGCGATGAAAGCTGGATGATCATAGCCTGAAGGAACCACGGAGCCTTCAATCGTCGAGAATCAGATGGGATGGCTCATGAAAATGAGTACGAGTACTCACCCTGGCGACGGCGCTATCGCAGTCTACGCGGGCCGTGTGGGTTTTATCCATATCGTAATGGGAGGGCCGCATCAAGAGATGGACGTGGCCCGCTCGTGTCCCCTTGCGAATGTCGTGGTATGGCAGGCGTCGGCCCCATGCGCGCCATGACAGACTGCTCAAGCGACACAAGAGCAGTTGGGTGATCGTGGCCCGCCGACGGCGGCGGCGGCTGGTGGGAGGGATGCAGAACAGGCACCGTGCCGCTGGTCTGACTTGAATCCGCATCCGCCGCGGCGCTGCTGTCGAACGAGAACAGCGAGCGCGGTAAGGGTTGTCCCTTGAGTGCTTTCGCGGCACGGAGCACGGCAAGGCGGTCAGGAGGCGGGGAAATCGCCTGACGCACCACGGGCTCGGGATTGGAGTCGAGCGGGGCCTGATCGTGCGCCTGCGAGGCGGTCAAGGTAGGCCCGTCAGAGCGCGGGGCGAGTGTCTTCGGGGAGGACACTGTGCTCGCCTGTTTCGTCGCCTGCCTCTTCGACGCAGGAGGCTGGCCAATGTCCTCGTCATCGTCATCACCGTCTTCGCTGTCATCCTCACTACGCTTGCGTTTGCGCTCCAGTGGGAATGCCTTGGCCGCAGCACGCGCGCTGGAATCTGGATCTGCGGGCAGTTGCGCGGGTGTGAGAGCGCGGATGAAATCAACCATGAGCTTTACGACGCGCGTGTTTAAGCGGATGTCCGCCTCGCGCGCTCGCACAGCACGACGCATAGCCGCGATGCCGTCTGCAAGTTGCGCCAGCGTGAGCGTGCGCTTGTGCGCATGTACAAGTGTTATGGCACTAATGACCTCGACGGGCGCGACCTTCTTGACGTCGGGAAGCTCAAACGCGACAGCGTGCAGTGAAGGATCGCGCGAAATGCGCAAGAGGATGTCAAGAGTCTGGCGCGCGGCGCGCCAAAAAGTGGAGGGGATCTCCTCGTCGCGCGTGAGAAGCTTCTGGAGCGTGGAGACGCCGGGCACGGTACCAAGGTTAGGCCACTTCTCCATGTTGTACACGGCATGGGTGAGCACGCGGAAGTCTCCGCCACGGGTTAGGTCCCAATCAAGGGTGGTGGCGAGGCCATCTGTTACGAAATCGCTGACAAGCTCGCGAACGAATGCTGAGGTAGAACTATGGATTGCTTGAAGTTTTTCTGCAACAAGCGAAGATGAGCGTGAACAGATGTTCGGCTGAGATGTAAACAAAACTCAGACCTGCTGGTGTCAACGCCATGCCCAGTTGTACACGCTACGGGATAAACGTCAGCTCCAAATCAATGCTTGAATGACGGCCGACATACCTGGAACATCTCTCGCTCGTTGTCTTCCGAGAGATCCTGGTACTCTATGCAAACCTAAGACCTGTCAATGGGCTCAGTCGATATTATGTCGAATAGCACGTACTATTTGCTTGATTTTGAAAATCCTGATGTATCTGTCCGGTAACATCTTCACATTCTTGAATTTGCCAATGTCTCTAAGGACAAATTTCTCCTTGGTGAATCTAGGAAATTTATGGATGAGCCTGAAAGACATTTAAAAGAGGAAGGAACGGGCGACCTACGCGTCTTTGTCTTATACAGTGCGGTAGATAGTTAGCACGAACAAGAAGCGCAAGAGGGGCTTAGACATACAATAGATCTGAACATAGAACGTAAGTGACGTGAAACGGAACGAGCGGGACACATACTCACCTCACCGTCCATAAATCTGGATGTCGAGGTACGAGTGGATGAGCTGATGAGCTGCGCATGTGAGATACTGCGGGATAGACGAGCTTGCCTGCGGATCGATGTCATGCGTTGCTTGCCGTCGATACATATACGGTGCTCTGAGCCGTCGGCCCTGTACACAACGGCTATGTGATAATATTAGTATTACGGGAAAGGACCACGACGCCGCGCGTACCAAAGATGACAGGGGGGACGTAGAAGTTGCGGAATATCGAGTCTATGATGCCTGGGATAGTGTTAAAACAGGGTTTGCGGACCACGCGTGAAAGGCCGTACCGATTTGTTTCTGTTCTGGCCAGACAACATCTATATGGCGGATCAGGCCGCGGAGCGCGGAGGCATTTAATGTGGCGACGTACCTCGCTGGTAATCCGGACATAAATTGATGTCTTCGTTCAGCATTTGCTCTACACGATCCAAGGATGAGTAAAGGTACAGTACACGTGAAAAGCAGAGGGGCGACGCGCCATAAAGAGCTTGTGTTGTGTAACTGGCCGCGCGAGGCACTTTGAGCGCGCCTGTAATCCTGTAACCCTCGTCTGCATCGTCCTTGAGCTTTCCCGAGGCTCGTGTTGAGTGCTTTGAAGCAGAGAGAGGGATCTCATCCTCGGAAAAGTCAGAGTCGTCGGACATAGTGAAGTAGTCAGAGCAGAGACGATGGTGACCACTGGCTGTGGCAGTTAGTCGCGGCATCTTCCGCAGCCCTATGGGCGTCTGATGGCCCCATACGTCAACGCAGCAAGTACTGGTATCATACAGTATTTACAGTACTAGTAATAAACATAACCCCGTTTAGACCCCCGTATCGATATGCTCGTTTCGCTCGCAATAAAGTCAAGCGATGTCCTGCAGGGCCGCTCCTGCCGCGGCCCGCTCGATGCCTTTCATGATCGCATCCAGCTGTTTCTTCCGCGACCCATCCTCGTCTTGCTGTCCTCCGCCATCCTCTTCCTCGCTGTCATCCCCCGGCCGCTCCACCATGAATTCTGCCATGAACCGAGCGATCGCCTTTTCCCCCACCTCCGCCATCGCCCGCCCGCCCCACCGCCACTCAAAGACCGCCCCACCGTCATCCCCCGCGCCCCCCTGCGCCGCCCCCGGCCCCCGTCCGCGCTTCCCGCCCCCTTTCGCGTCTCCGGTACGCTGCCGGTCCAGGTACCCCTGCCGCATGAGCTGCGTCAGGTACGCGTCCACAGCCATCCCCTGGTGCGTTGAACGCGCACTCAGCGGGATTGCCGAGCCTGGCGGGAGGTGCAGCCGCTTCAGGATCGCTAGCAGGTCGCCTGTGCTCATACAGTCAGCGCACATCGGGAGGAACGTCGGTCGCGGTGCTCACTGTCTCGCATGACGCGCCCGTCGACGAGAATGAGCGCAAGCACGACATACAACACGCCGACCGCGCACACGTCGTCCGCGCGGTGCCATGCAATGATGCTACCGGTCGACCGCGCCCCCGCCCCCGTCTCCTCTACGTCGTACTCGTCCTCGTTCAGTGCCTCGTCCTGCTCAAGTCGCAGGATGTCCGCATCCGGCACGCATGAACGCTCGATGATGACCGGGTCCAGCAGCGAGCGCAAGACGTAGGTCTTGGTGCCCAGCGGCGCCGCTGCAAGCCAGTCGCGAGTCATAGCAGGTGGGATACGAAAGGATCGTGGTCGAAGCGAAGAATGGTCAGGCACACAGTCAAAGGGGCTCGGCACATAAGAGCACGCGCACCTCGCTTTTTCACGCCCGTAGCTTTGAGCAGCTCCGCATCCTTGTCCTTGTCCCCTGTCTCCCGCTCGAGCCCCGCGCGCGATTGCAGCTCGACGAGGTCCATACCAAATGTTTGACGCAAAATTTCCTGCGCGCGTCCGAGCACGACGTTGAACATGCGCGTGCTCGAGCCGAGCACTGCACCCAGACTAAGCCATGTGTCCATAGAGGATGGTAGAGGCCCAGAAAACATACCTTTCTTCGAGATCTCGTCACGCCTTAGCGGCATGCGCCGGGTTTCAGTGAACAGCGCGAGCCTCACGAGATCGTGCGCCTTGCGTTCGATGTCCTACGAACGCACTATCAGTGCTTGCGTCTGGGCGTTCTGTGTCCACCCCATAGAGGACAGTGGACAACCAGACGAAAACGTACGTCCTGAGCGTCCCCGCCGTCCATGGAATCATCCTCTCCTCCTGCGTCGTCCTCGTCTTCGCCATACTCTTGTTCGGCCTCCTCTTGGCGGGCGTGCCTGGACCGCTGCGACTGTGATTGCGACTGCGAGGCTCGGGGCTGGCGCGCCTGAGGTTGAGACTGTGATGGTTGTTGTGAGCGAGTTGTAGCCCTGGCCATTCTGGTATGTGTGCGTGGTCACAAGCGCAGAATGTGCCGAGGGCAAGGTGGGACGCGACGCGAATGATGGTAATGAGAAAGAGAGACGCGTGCCACCGACGCGTCTTGCTAAGCGCCGCGACATGCGTCTGTTCGCACTCGATCTCTCTTATGTTATGCAGACATCACAATCTTAGGCCTTTCATATACGTCTCAAATGAAAACTCGATCACTTCAAAGTCTTCTGCTCAATTTTAACTACAATACAGTCACTATTTGCGACCCAGCTTACAAGATAACAGCACTGTCCGACCACACATTTTAGTTCTCGGCGACACATCAGAGCCACCGCTGCACGACCACACTGTTGACAAGCCCTGCAGCCTCGATTGTCTGCGAGTTGTCCTCGAGGATGCGGCTGGGGAACGTCGTCTGGATAGTGTACGGCCGTGCGTTGTTCTCCGGCCGTGCCCTATAAGAGCCCCACGTCGCCATTAGTGACTACGATGTGGTGTTAAGCAGGAGTACATACGCATTTATAAAATTCCGGATGTCGCCCACCGTATGCGTCAGGTTCATGCGACATACCAACCTAAAGCAACGACCACAATTAGCACACTCAATCCGGGTGTATACGCAACGACGCACCTTGTCCCGTCTGCGAGCCGTACCTGGACGCTGGTCGTCGGGCGCGTCTGGTCCACCTCAAACCGCGTGTGGATGCTCTCCGGCGTGCGCTCCGACGTCGGCGCGGATGCGGGCGCGCTAGCACCAGGGAACGTCCCAGGCATCTGAGTGCTGCCGCTCCCGCTAGCACCTGGGGTAGACAAGGATGGAACGGGCGAGCCGAGACGGTGGCCTGCGCCAGAGAACGTGTTGGCGCCGAGCGCCTTCGGCTCAGGAGAGTAATCATCCTGCAGACGCTTCACCACACGCAGCTCAACGGGCTGACCGGGGGCGACGTTCAGAATGTGCGGGGGTGCGCGGCTTGAGTAGGCGTCAACAATCAAGCAAAAGGACAAGCACCTAAGCAGACCTACCCGGAGTTGATTTCCGAGAGGATCTGCGCGTTCGCAGGATCGTCGTAGCGCATCAGCTCCCCGTCCTCAACGCTGAAGCCGTCTCGCCAGAATGTTAAGTGGCGCACAGCGGTCTCTTCTTCCGGTTCTGGATACTAAATGAGTGTCTGAAGGTGCGCTAAGCGAGACCTGCGCACCTTCAGGGGCATTGGGATCGGGTATGTATTGGCTATCGACTTCATCGCTTCCCAAAGTGTGACCACCTCCTGTGAACACTGTGCCTCGGGCAGATCCCTCGGCGGGCGGTGGCGGCGGACCGGCTCTGGGAACAGTCAGCATATACGAAAAGCAGATGATCTGTAACAGGTATAACGCACTCCGCAGCCCTACGGAGAAGGTCACGGACTAGGTTCCCACCGGGGACGGCAGCAGGCCGATCGGGGTTCTGAATGGAGATCCCACTAAGAGGTGGTCAGCCATGGGCGGCGACAGGTTGGACGTAGCGTACCTCCTCTCCCCGCCCGCAAACCAGCTCTCTCCTGGTTGTCCTTCGTTTTCGTCCTCCTCGTCATCGTCATCATCGTGCGCATGGCCACCACCGCCCAGACCACCGAAGGCGGGGCCGCTACCACCACCGCTACCCCCACCACTGCTCATATCGCGCAAGGTTGCAATGCGCGGGCCTCCTGAGCTACTGCGGCTGCTGTTAAGCTGTTAGAGATGAGGGAGTTCGTAACGCGGCCATCACTAACTCGGATGAAGACGAAGGTGTGCTCCAGCCACCGATGCGACCGATCCTCGGCGGGGTGTTGGAAGGACGGGTCCATCCTCGCGCGGGACGAGAGTTATCGCCAGACATTTTCTCAGTAAGCTTGGGAGTGTATTGTAAGAGATATACGTGATGAGAGTGCGGAGGAGGGTCAAACGCGCGACGAGCGCTGGACTCGCCTGGGTGACGCGTCGGGCACGTGCTCCGCGTGAAGACGATTATACATGTCAATTTCCGCTGGCTCGTGTACTACACACCTTGATTATATTCGCAATTTTGAGACAACTGTCTATTTGACTCAAAGATACTCGGCACGTCAGAATCTAAACTTACTCTTTAAAGACCTACACGTATAGGCTCTCAGTACTGATCAATAACGCGCTCTCAGTACTGATCAATAACGCGCTCTCAGAAGAGTCAATGCACATGCACTCGTCAGCTCTTGGACCTCAAGGACACATTCACTGCGGCCCTCTGCGTTCCACATGCTCCAGCTTCTGTGGACATTCATAACATGGAATGCTTCGTCGCTGGATGGGGCGTCTACTCGGAGAGGCTTCCATCACTGCCCCTTCAGACTAGGTGCGCCCAGTCTTCTTGTGCGATTGACATGTATATAGTGACAAGGATCAAAAGGGAGTAAGAATCAGTTTTCGGTCAGTAGCAGAAGTGCAATTTGTCAGGCAGCAGGACCTGCACGCAAAGCTTGACAAGATCCGCGATGAGCTCATACGCAGGCCCTTGCTGCTAGTATCTCTTTGCATCTCGAGGTCGCTGAAGTGACTACCGCCAAATCCGCTACGTGGATCATCCGGCATTCTCTGTCACAGCCTCGCACGTCTTCCACCGCTGGCGCCGCGCCTGCGATCTGGACGCATCTCAATGTCAGAAAACAAGCCCAAGTCCTATCTTACCATCTACCTCGAACGCGCTCGACGCCATTCCGTCCACATCATCCTGCACTGTATTCACGCGGGCCACATGAACCAGCGGGAAATCAAGTGCGATGACCGCTGGCCCACTCTCAAAGAGCAGATACAATCTCCCCCATGTCGATCGCTGGCGGAGACTTTCCGTCTTTTCAAACTATGTGTCACTTATCATGAGCATTGTCAAGCATATACGGCAACCGTCCTCGACGCGCTTGCAATCCGTTTAAATCCACATCGCCGTCCGTACTTTCCAGCTTGTCTCTGAGCGACTTTGTCTTCCGTGAAGACATCGACAATGAGGAGGTTCCCATCACTACCCTCGCGCTGCGCTATTCCGCGCCGGACCAGGTCGGAGTTGTGCACAAAACCATCCCTGCATTCGTCTCGCCCGCACTCGCATCTATGGAGCTTTCGCGTTTCAGCTTAGAGCACGTTCACTCGCCGATCAGTACGCTGAAAACCAGTACCGCGCCGACATGCTTTCCACGCGTATCCGAGCTTATGACGCAGTGACTCGGCCATTGTGCCACTGTACAATACGCCCTTGTCCCTGGTTGCTGCGTTTCCAGCGCTTGAGCACTTTGCACTCATCTACACACCTGTCATCCTGCTCGACTTTGTCATCGCCCACGCACAGGCCCTGTGCGACCCATCTCTTCTTTCGCGCACACCTTTCTGGCAATATCTCACGAAGCTCGCGTTCGCGACAAAGTCGGCGGATGTCGTCGGCCCACAGTACCTTCGCGATGCTATTGAACGTTGACAGGAAGTCGAGCATCCCATCACGGTGGTGCGTTTTGGCGAGAGGTCCGTTATCAGGTTTAGTGAGGTGGAATGGCTGCGCAAAAATGGTAGGCTCGATGTGTTCGACGGATCGACGGGTGAACACTTCTGAGACGCGGAGAGCACGGTTGATCATGGACCGAATGAGGTAACGAGATGCCAGGCGCGCCCGCTTTCCTCAGCTGCCAGTTGGCTGCTGGCGCTGAGCATCCTCAGCTATGTCAACTCGCTTACCCTCTATCCTCCTATAGGCTATGGGATATACGTTAGCGCCTATGCTACAGCCGGGTATTTTCTGATGCGGACGTCAGTTGATGTGAGGCTCACTGCAAAGCCTAATAGAACATACACTTTCGCAGCACGCTTCGATGTTCAAGTTGTCCTTACGTTACCAAGCTATAGATCTCCTATCCCATCGCCCCAGCTGGCGGTTGTAGTCGAGCCCTCACATGTGGTTTATCTGCTGTAGTGTGCTTACATGTGACCGTGGTCTCAACACAAGAATGAAGGTCTCTAAGAGGGGACATTCGTTGAATGTAGGTAGGACATTAGGACGGCCGATGCGCAGAGCGTTACTATAGGCGCTTATGGGTGCACGATCAGGATCAACCTTGCTTTATGACCACCTCACCGCTGGCACGCATTGACATGTAGTTGAGGTCCAGCAAACAAGTTCCCGTACATATGCGAATATTCAAGCGTGCCCGAAGGCGACGATGCCAGAGCAGCGAACGTTCGCTAGGCGAGTAATACAGCATCAACATTCTTATTTTTAGAGAAATCCAGCGAGATACATTGTGAGGGTGAGTCAAGTCTTATGGAGCGAGGACGCCACGATCGGGGAGAATGTCGTACTATCTCCCGTTGCAGGGCATGTCAGACAGAACGAAGCAGCTCATCCACAAATCTCAACATGTGTCCTACGAATGATACAATTTTGTTGAATATGTGAATGGTGCTTCTCTTACAACATTGCATGCGTCTGCTGACCTCGCTAAGTCCCACTTCCCCACTTCCTACCCGTCAACATATCGATTTTTGTAAGAACGTGCTATTCAATACACGCTGATCATTACGTTCCCTTTGACAGCGGACCTACCATCACGAAATTACCTGATATGGCGCACCACGCTTTTTGCGTTCCCCATGAGTTACGATACCACCTTCCAGCATCTTTTAGTGATATCACAGGTGAGAGTGAAGAGTGAAGATACACGCACGGCCGTGCGTTCTCGCCTGTTGTGATTTGGCTTCCCCACAGCGTGAAATATTCCTCAATTGTAGCACAAAGACCAAAATGCTACCACCTACGTTTGTGAGCATTATTCGTCACGCAAACGCAAACAGATTTCTCACGTCATTTCCCTCAGTGCTAGCCGTCTTTGGCACCGAGTTGCACGAGTGGACGAACTGCTCCATCCTACGTAAATATAGCAGCTTCAGGAGAAATCAGAACAGCCTCAATCAAGAAACTCGCGAGCAATCCCAATTGTTTACCTGGACACCATGACGCTGTCCTTCTTCTATTTCGTCATCTTCCCCTCATGGCTGTCTGTGAGTCCGGCGCTCACATCGATATCGCAATCAGCGGACAAACTCGTGCTTCAGGCGTGAGTGTCCAGCGCTGGAAATAGGCGAGTTCTATGTTTCACCTAAAGGTATTCTTCTTTTGCGCTCGACTATGCCACATTTACTTGTGTTTCACTTGACGAGTCTGGTCTAGGTCTTACGTGGGGTAAGTCGGTTCATGTTTTCACAGTATGCGCTATACAATTCGCGCGTCCCAAATCATACTCTACTCTTGGTTCGGTGTTCTACATTGCAGCCTGCATGCTCGCACTGCTTTCGCGCCGTAGCGACCCACCTGCGGTCCCAAATAGCCCTCGCCAATCAACGTTACGGTCTGTATCACTGACGACATGCCACATTTTGACTGTGCTGTGGACGTACAAGGACATCTGCACTTACCCGCGCTCCCGCATAATCGCAGCGCCTCGGTCCGCTCGTGGTCTCTACTTGTTTTTAATGCTGCATTCCCTGCGTCAGCTGCTCTGGCATCGTGCTCTCTTCCGTTCACTCTCCCCTTCTCGGCGTCAACTACTGCAATGGCGACTCCGCCTTTTGATCAGCGCAATAATCAGCATCCTATGCCAGATGTCATTCTATCTCTCCCTCTGCGCACCAGTAACTTAGTGAGTCAATATCCGGACATCCTGAGTTGTGTTCAGACAGGTCTGCAGCACCATCACTCCGCCGAAGACGGTGTCAGCGACCATGAGTCGAGCGACTTTGAACTTACCGACGACGAATCGAGTGACGGCAGGTCCTCCGTCGAGGTTCGTAGTGCTTCCCTTTCTCGACTAGCAAGGATTGTACGTCTCGAACAGGCTGAAGTCGACTCTGAAGAGTCCGTCGATGGAGGGAGCGACGAAGATAGCGACGATGAAGGTGATGATGCCATGGACTGCGTTGACGAAAGTGACTACGGGGAACCCATGGACGTAGACCCTTGAAGAGATTCCCCACGGCCGTTGTAGCACACTTCGATTCGTTTATTCTCTTTGATTGCCGAGCTCACCATCCTAATCCTTAGAGGACGCCGTTGAAAGTGCACGGTGTGGGAGGGATGGTAGCAGCGAACGTCCGTAGTTGGTCGAAGGGTGTTGTGTGACTGTAAGCTAGCTAGAACTAAAGAATATAATGTTATGGCCGCAATTGACTGACTATATGCGCGTCGAATGTACGCGCGCTGACTCTGTTAGATACCAAACCGCGATGCGTGTCCAAATGACAACGCGCGAAGAACGTTCAACAGCGACGCGTGTCCGAATGACCACGCGCGAACGATAGTGCGTGTCCGATTGACCACGCGCAAATGACAATATAACAACACTCACCGTGTACGTGTGACTCTCGGGTCACTCGTCCGTACCAGCGCAACGAGAGAGAGAGAGGATGAGAAACCGCGAGATGATTGTGATTCGAGGGAGAGAGGAAGTTGATATTCTCGACATCGACGCAGGCTTTTATAGGTACAGAGAGTCCTTGACACTAATGACATCATACGAGACCTGAGAGGAGCGAGTGACGCACATCATAACAATAAATCGCGAGAAGTCCAAAATAAAAGACATATCCTAAACATGGATGGAAGCCCCGTCCTGGGCATAGACAAGCGAGACTCGACGTCTCCGGATCGGCTCCACAACTGTCAATATCTCAGCTTCTCGAAGGTGTGAGTCCCCGACGCGCCATATTTACGTTCGCGACCTGCCGCCCTCAGGTGCGTGACGACGTCGGCACCAACGATCCACCTACGACAGCCGCTTCACCTCCCCATCGGCGCCGTCTTTGCAAGCCTTAGAGCTGTCAAGGGGGAATGGTACGTACTTCTGGGTCCTTCTCTTTGAACGAAGCAATGACAAACATATGAAAGAAGCGAAAATTAGAAGAAAAGAAGAGGAAGGGAATGTTCGACACCGGAAGGAAAAGAGACCGGGTCGCCGACGATCGTCTCCGGCCCCGACGCGCTCTCCTCCACCACAACGGCTACGGCCTCGAGATGCTGGTCACATGTTTTGAAATTGTGCTTTGTGCTAGGCTGTCGTTTGTTCCCGTTCGTTGTTCGCAATACATTTGTCGTTGATTTTCTGTACTCCTTGAGGTAATAAGCAGTTCGGTCAAGCCTTCTGAGACAACACGTTTCAACATTACAGGGCCACACCATGCAAGCCTATAAAAGCAGGGCAAGGTCTTTACATCTACAGTTCCCATTATCGAAGTGTCATTTCGAGTACCTCGTTGTATCCCTGCTGATCAGTTTGATTGAGCCGCATCTCCATTCCTTAGACAAACGCATGCTTGTATTGCCTGTCCGTCTTTGGTTCGTGTATATGTTGGCAAATGCTCAATTTCTTTACCTTCTCAACCCACCTCTTCGAGCCTTTCGCCGTTGCAAGCACTTACCTCAGAGGGCCTTTCGGGGACGCCTCTGCACAACGCCATGCAACGACTTCACGCCATTAACGAGCTGCCTTTGCTGGCGCGGTCGCGGCAATAACCAATCCCTCATAGATGGGCAGCGCCCCTCCCGCATCCCCACAGGCCTCGCGGCGCGGTTTTGCGTGCGTACTTTCAGTGGACACGACGGGTGGGCATGCGGTGCTCGGAAATAATATGGAACGCTGAAGGCGTAGGCTGCGTGTGGCGGGAGCGTCATGGTAAGGCCCGAGTCTCGGCGTCGAGAGGCGCTCGAGAAGCGGATGAAAGGGTGTGCGGAGGGTGGCGCCAGGCCTACCGACGACGGTTATGATACCACTTGCGGTCCTTGCAACATCTATGTTGAAACGCGCAGCCCCGCGTGGTCAGGAACGAGCTCGAAAGCTCGGGCGCGCGAGTAGCCGGGGGCCGGAGGCCCCTATCGTAGTATATAACGACCCCGCGCGATGTACGTACCGCACGCGATTGTCCCTGACGCTACGCCCGTGGACAAACGCGCCCCCGCGCCGTTCGCACCGTTGTTCCAACAATCTAGACTTTCCGCAAAGTGACACCCATGCGCTCTGCGAGCTCGGATATGCCGCCTGACGCGCTAATAATAATGCTGATAACGGAGGAACTTTGAGCGCGGGGGAGCTAAGGGATGAGAGAGAATGGAGCACGAGTTCCCATGTTTCGATTGTGTGGTGGGCGGAATTGCGGGGGCGCGGGCGGTCTCATTGAGATGAACTAAACCTAGAGGGTAGGACAAAATCGGACAATAAGTGTGGGACATACTGTTCACTATTTAGGAACAGAAGCACCTCCACTTCGAAAACATCCACTCCACGCATTTGCCGCGTCCTCTAGGGTCGTTCCAGCGCGGCCGGGGGGCGACTGCTCTAGGGGGGTAAATACGGTATGGAAAAATATCCTCCATCTTCTTAGCGGTTTCCTCTCCCATAATGTTCTGCGTACACCGCTCTCCGACGAATTGACCTACATCTGTAGAGCAACTTAATCCCAGACACAACGATGACATCTTCGACCTGCGCGATTTCACCATTGCAAGACAAGAATTTCCCTACCTTCTTAAGCCTGAGTCCTGCCCTTGAGTATGACAAGGACGATAGACGAGGAGTTAAACTCAGCTCAGCGGTATACCGAGCGGTAAGTCATGGTAGAGGAAGCAAGGCAAACGTGCATCGCTTCTGATGACATGGCTTCCTGAATCTTTCCGGACTTGTTCTAGGATCGAAGATCAACCTTTTCATAGTGTTCTCGGAACTAAGTACAGTGTTAGCTTCAACGTATTCTAATGACCCGACTTCCTTGCCGCCCCTAACCCTAGGATGAGGTTGGACAAGACATCCTGGGCGAGCGCTTCATCGCCGTACTTCGTCCGCGACCACTACGGTGCTGTGAGCACCTTGTGCAAAATGGACAGGAATAGTTTCACAACACCGACCACCAATGCTTCACGACTGGCATCTTCTCTTTCTAGGTCGAGGACGACAACAAAACGTGACTCGCTGGCAGCGGAACTGGAGCGTGGTGAGGCTACCATACATTCACCCAGCCATGAATCGCATCTGAACCAAACGGGCGTGGCGAATGATGTTACTTGCACTTGCACAGACCCCCAGCTATCGTCAGCTAAGCGTCAGCAGCGCTCACAGACGCTGACCTCTCATCTAGCCCATGCTTCTCTGGAACGACAGCTCGTAGCCGCCCAAACAGCCAAGGCCGACCTCGAGACCAATCTGCGCGAGAAGAATGCCCAGATTGCGCGACTGGAGGAGGATAGGCGGTGGCTGGCGGAGCGCGAGCAGGAAGAGAGGCTGGAGAAGGAGCGCGAGCGGACGGAACATGCGGAGGACAAGGTGAGCCTCGCCACTCGGCCTCTTGCTTTCTCCTCGGATTTGAAGTAGCTTCGAAGCACAAAGCCGACCACGATATACGCAGCCTCCGCGCCTCCCTCATGACCCTACAAGAACAGCTGGCGGATCTCAACGACGAGCACGGCCAGCTGTCGCGCTCTACTTCGCAGACCATTTCCACGCAAAAGTCGCAGATCACGATGCTCTCGCGTCAGCTCGCGCGCGTTGAAGAGCAGCTCACCGAGTATAGACGTGTTGCTGAGGAACGCGGCCGCGCACTCGAGGAGCTGCAGACTCAGCTGGACGACGCGAGCACAGCAAAGGACAGCTTCGTGCAGAAAGCTTCGGACGACGAAAACTGGGCAATCGTGCGCGATGAACTTCACCGCCAGGCGGAGCACATGCGCCTGGTGGAAGCGGCAAACACGAAGATGTCGGCAGAGCTGACGATGCTGCGGGAGCGCCATGCCAGCGTCGAGGTGCTCAAAGAGCAGAAGCGTGAGCTTCAACGACGCGCAGCGGGGGCGGATGAGCTGCGAGAAAAGGTGATTCGCTTGGAGGCCGAGCTCGAGGCGTCAAGGCGTGAGCGCGAGCAATGGTGGATAAATCATGCCCAGTGTCCTTGCAGCGTCGTCTAACACTCGCTTACAGGGCCTCCGAGAACGTACAACCGTCTACGCCGTCAAAGACACCGGTCTCTGTTACGCAGGGTCTGTCGAAGCTCCGGCTTGAACACGCGCGTCTTCTGGAGGAGCATGGGTCGGCCCGGGCGCTCCTCAAGCGCCGCGAGCATGAGCTGACCGACGCGGAGCGTCGCAACGCAGAGGCACTCGAAGCGCTGGAGAAGTTCCAGTCCGAAGTGCGCGTACTGAAGACGAAGAACAGTCGCGTCGAGCATGACAAGTCGCTCGCCGAGCGTGAGATCTCGTTCCTACGCGCTATGGTGGTGAGTGTTGAACGCTCAATCGCCGGGCTCCAATGTACCAACTTCTGCACAGGCGAGTTTCACCGCCGAGGAAGCGTCGCAGAACGGAGTTGCGCTCGAGGAGGCTACGGCTGCACGCGTTCAGCAGCTCGAGGCACTGCTCGTCGATTATAAGGCAACTGTCGAGCAGCTTGAGGGTGAGCTCGAGGAGATCGGCATCGATCCTCACTTGGCAGGCGGGGCCAATAGCGTGAAACAATTGCAAGACGAGCTAGCCAAGGAGACGGCAGCGAAGGCTGCGGCAGAGAAAGGCATGTGTGTTCTTCCTCATTGTCGGTGCATTCGGTAAACAATGTCGTGCGGCATTCACAGCTCTTGAAGAAGCCACTGCTGCCGCAGAGAAACACCTGGAGCAGGTTGACACACTTGAGCAGACGCTTTGGGAGCTGCGCGGTGAGATCGGTGCGGGGCACCACGTCCCGCCAGGCGTGCGAGTGCTCTCGCTACGGAATAACCCAGCGCAGCAGTGGGCGGACTTGAGCCAGGCCGCGATGGATCGTTTGCGTGGCGAGAATGAAGCGCTACTACGGCGACTCAAGGTTCTCGAGGAGAGTGGCGCGCGCGGTGCAGAGCAAGACGCACATGCAGAAGAGCTCGTTCCCCGGCAGAGTTACGACGTCGTCAACAAGGAGAAGCAGCACCTCGAGGACGAGTTGAAGAAGAAAGAGAAGCGGCTTCTCCGGCTGCAGCAGGTGCGTCGTAACCGTGTGCACATCGCGTACATCCACGCTTACACCGGTGCTCTCTTACGCGCACAGATCTTCCATGCCAAGAGTGCCGAGTTCCGCGAAGCAATTGCGTCGATATTGGGCGTGAAGCTTGCGTTCTACCCGAATGGCCAGGTGCGCGTGACGTCGCAGTTCGACCTGCATGCCACATTCGTCTTCCAGCCTGCCAATGCGGGCGCAAGCGAGGGCGGCGGGATGAAGATGCAGCTCACCGCGCAGGGCGAAGAGGTGCCGGAAGAAGTGCCGCAGTTGATGCGCTACTGGGTGGAGCAGGAGCAGTGCATCCCTGGGTTCATGGCGAGCATCACGCTGGAGTGCTACGAGAAGAACAAGATGGAGAGGGAGAGGGAGGCGCGAGGGCTGTTGCACTAAATCTCACCTTCGCTGTTCGGCATTCCATTGTCTTGTCTTGTTCTTTCTTGCATGATCTCGGATTTTTGCGTGCATAACACCTTGGCAGCACCGGCTTGACGGATCAAGTTCTATATTGCAACGAGCATATAACGACCACTCGCCCTCGAGACACGACACTGGATTTCACAGTGTAGGTTTATCCGTCTGCAATGGATCGAAAAGTCAGATCTCAGGTTTGAATGAGTACCATGAACACTATACAATCACGCTATGGGAACGTTTCTCGTTGTGTCCAGTTACAGAAAAACTTGAGGGTGCCATGCTAAAACGCTCGGCACTCTGGCTTGCTACTGTGGTGGAGATTCGTGTCCAAGCGCGTTTGGTACCAATTTTCTGCAGCATGAGACTAACAATATACCCGAGTTATTCTGAAGCGCAAATTACGAGGCTCGATACGGCAGCACATAGTGAATCAGGATGCGTACATACAAGACTGTAGAAGAGCTGATTGGATCCTCGCAAGCAATAATCAGACAGTCTGCGGAGGAGACTTGGGCCAAATAGGCACTCGAGATCCGGATCTGGCATCGGCGATCGGAGTCGGTCCTGCGAAGGGATTATTGATGATCTAGTGCCCAAATCCCTCCGATATCCGAAGTTCTAGTATTGTCCCAATCATCAGCACTATATGTATAACCTCTTTCAGAGAAACAGACGTTCCATGGGATACAATCAGTTCTGACCGCGGACATATCGCCGGGGCGCTCATATCATCAAACTCTAACTTGAAGCCCAGCACTTACGCATGTTTCAAGACGCTCCCTCGACGATCCGTGATACGACGAAATCTTACCGCTTGTTACTGTCTTTGCTAGATCGAACACTCTTGCTACCGGGCTTCTCCATGTCATCCGGAGCCATCGATGCAACATTGGAAGGCGCACAAAATGTGCTCGACACTGCGGGTAGTTTTGTCGAGCTGGCCAATATTCCGGGTCTCAGCCAGGCTGTCAAAGCTGTTGCTCATGTCATACACATTATAACTGTACGTGTGTAGCAGCATATCGTAGTGATTCTCTCACCTATAATTCTGTGTCATCCTTCAGAAAATGCGAAAGAATAGTAAGGTTCGACGACAGATGGAAGAACATCTTGTATCCCTAGCATTCTCTTTGTCTAGGACTGTAGAGGATATCCGAAAGCGCTGTGAGAAAGAGAGCCTGTCAATGGATGCTCTGAGGATGCCACCGGAACTGGACAGTAGGATCAACGGCCTGATCAGGTTCGATCGTCATAGGATTGGACTGTAGTGTCGTAATAACACATTCAGTCTCTAGGAGTCTAAGCGATATAGCTCAGAAGCTCAGCGACATGCGTACGGGATCCAGAGTGGGGAGATTTCTCGGTGTGGACCGGGACGCTGACAAGCTGTCTTATCTCAAAGAGCAGCTTCGGAATGCGCAGCGAGATTTCGAGGTTTGTGCTTCTCGTTGTGTACCATTCTATCAGGGTTTATCTCCTCATGTCATAAATTCTATTGCTCAGCTCCAAGGCCAGATCCGCATTGAGTTTCTCGTAGATGCGATGTTTGGCACATTACACACCATTCAGCAGGATATATCGGTATGTCAATACTTAGGTGTTACAAAACATCTAACCATATTGTATCAGGTATTGGTCCAATTTGGAATGACCACAGGTCAGCAATGTTGATATTGACAAATCAGTTGCTGACCGAGGCGACGTCCTCAGAGATCCGTGAAACCCTCAGTAAGCTCCCTCATGTTGTGGATGCCGGATATCGGTCGAATAGGCATGAGCATAAAGCTCATCTCATGCATGGAACTCGAGCAGACATACTGCGCGAGATATACGAATGGGCCACTGAAGCGCCAAAGGCACCCAAACACCTCATCCATGTACTCAGCGGAGCAGCAGGAACAGGGAAATCAACCATCGCATACGAGGTAGCAAGGTGCCTTGATGAAGAAGGGAAACTTGGAGCTTCTTTCTTTTTCGACCGCGGTTCCGAGGCCTTGGCAACCACGCGTTTTGTCTTCACGACTATCGCATATCAGTTAGCCCTACAACAACCCATGACTATAGCTCACTACTTCGTCGATGCCATACAGTCGTACCTTCAGCGAGGCAGAGATCAACAAATGGAATTTGCTCTGGATGAGCTTATAATACGCCCTTTGGAGTCGAAGCACTCTGAACGTCCGGTTGTCCTGGTCATTGACGCTGTCGATGAATGCACCGAGTCCGGCCTTGACCTAGTCCCACGGATGCTCTACCTTCTCGCTGAGCGAGTCTCCGCTGCTCACATTCCATTTCGCATCTTGATCACCACTCGTCCAGAATATCACATCGAAGATGTTCTGCAATCTGCCGATTTCTCCAAAGACAGCAGTCGGATTCGATTGCAGGACATCCCGCGGAATATCGTAGATGGAGATATACAGCATTTCCTGGAGCATAGCTTCCGGAAGATCCCACGCATCGCGCCTTTCCTTGCTGCGCACCCCGACACCATCTCAGCGCTCACAATGAAGGCCGAGGGGCTGTTCGTTTATGCCTCGACTGTCGTCAAGCTTCTGCGCCACGACGCAGAACACACGAACGAGATTGTGGATGAGCTCCTGGGTCATTCGACCTCTCATTCCTACTCTGATCTCGAGCAGTTGGACCGGCTATACATCATCGTCTTGCGCAACGCTTTCCAGAAGTTCGATCGCTACGCTGACAGCATACACGCGGTCCTCGGATGCATTGCCCTACTTCAAGATCATCTCACACCCTCTGCTATCGCATCGCTCATGGGCATCTCGATCGCCAATACCCTCTTCGTTGTCAATCGGCTCACTTCTGTCATATTCTCAGAAGGGGGCTCTGATGAAGAAAAGCGATTGCTTCGCCCATTACATGCAAGTTTCCCACAGTTCCTCATTGATCCACACCGTTGTACCGAATTGCGATTCCACGTCGATCCAGGCGCTCGCCACGAGTGTATTGCAGTTGCTTGCTTCTCTGTTATGCTCAATCATCTTCACTACAATATCTTGGAGCTCACGGACCCCATGACTCCTAAGAGCTCAATCGCAGAGCTTCATGCCCTTGTCGAGCTGCATCTTCCTTCGCATGTCCAATATGCGTGTGCGCATTGGGCATTTCATCTATGCCGGGCATCATGCACTGTGGACCTACTGAGTATGCTAGAGGCATTTGTCTCTCAAAAGGTGCTTTATTGGATGGAGGCCCTAAGTCATATGGGTAGAATGGACAGAGCGCCACGCGCACTGCTGGATGTCCGTTCCTGGTGCCAGGTGCGCGCTCTATCATAGCGTCAACTGCGACGCGCGTCTCATCTTATTCTTCAGAGGCAGAGAGATGGCCCAAACGACACTTTCGACCTACTTCTACGAGACGCTCACCGCTTCCTTTTGGAGTATTTCGACGCCATCAATATCTGTCCAGAACACATATACATTTCTGGTCTTTCCACCATGCCGTCGTGCCCTTTGCTTGAAATATGCGGTAACACAGCCTCTGCAAAACTCGTCCAGATGGTGACGCCTCGACCCGCACAGTGGGGCTCGCATATTAGAATCATCGAGAGCCCTGATTTGAGTTATCGCGTGTTGAGGTACTCGCCTGACGGTCGTTGGATCCTAGCGTCGGCATATACTTCCGTCCAGTGTTATCACGCGCTATCTGGCGACCTCTTCCACACGATATCAGGCGTGCCCGAAATGATTCACGACCTTGATGTCTCTTCTGATGGCTCGACGCTCGTCACGTTGGCCTACGCGATGGGCGTCACCAAGCAGTATATTCAAGTCTGGAACTTTGCGTCTGGGGCCCTTCTGCATTCGATAGAATACGACAATGTTCAATTCTTGGCACTCTCGTTTTCTCAGGATGGCAGACGGATACTGGGCATTGCGCGGAGCCGGTCTGCGCCAACATCGATTGTTCCCTTCATGTGGGACACAAGGACGTTCACCATGATACGATTTCTCGGCACTCGAGAACTGAGCAACGCGTGCTCCCACAATCCGTATTTTTCTTGGAAACGCGACTTTATGCTCGAGACGTCCGACGACAAAGCATTGCAGGTGGTATATGCAAACACGCTCCATCAGGGTAAGGCCAGGGGATCGATCTCGGTAGGGGAGGATTATCGGGCATTGTTTCTGCCAGATCGTGATGATGAAATAATCATTTATACATCGTCGTGGATTCGAATTGTCGATGTGCGCACGATGCAGTCTCGCTCGGCCTTCTCCTTTCCTCTGGCCCTAAGTGTGCACACTATGACGATTGGTGGCATCTCTCCTTCTGGCGACCATGTTGCTCTCATCGGCGACTCGCGGAAACAGCCAATATTTATGTTAGAGCTGAAGATGGGACGCATTTATGCAGTGTCGGATTCCAGAGGAATTGGAGTCAAGTCGCTTTGCTTTGCTCCCGACGAAAGCTGCCTGGCCTGTTTGGACCAGTATTCATCGGCCATTCACATCCTCGAGTTCGCGCTTACGAACGTGGATATTGTGGCGGGCGAGGGCGATACTGTCCCACCGGAACACACGCGCTTGTGGTGGGACAGCCACTTGCAGGTTACAACCGTATCCGCATGCGACAACCAAGTGGGGACTGCATTCCTGTCTCAAAGCGACAAAGGTGTCCGGCTTGCCGTCTACCATGCGAAGATAGATGTCTCTCGTCCCAACAAGGACGGGAGCGTCTCCAGGACTACGACCATCACGACAGGAGAGAGAGTATGGAGTCTTCGACACGATCACGATGAACACAACACGCTCGAGATACGCCCTCTGTGCTTCTCCAACCAGGGTGATTTGCTCGCTATCGACGTCATGGATACGTACGGTGGCAGACTTGAACTCCTGAGCGTCCCTGAGCTGACGACCGTCAGCCAGATCGACCCTGCTCCAAGCGCAGTGGCGAGGAGGTGGAGTGGCGCTCAGTTCTCCCAAGACGACGCAAGCCTCTATCTGAAGCAGTGGCGGGGCGCTAGCGGGGAGGCGACCTACGTGTACGATCGCAAGGGAGGGAGCTGGGTGGAGACCGCTCAGCAGCGTGAAGTATCGCTTGTGTTCGAGATATGGGGAGACGGATGGGTCTCCGACCGCCGCCTCGGACGGCGAATTATATGGCTCCCCAAGCGGTACAGGCCAATGGACTCCAATGGCTACAATCTCCTTTGTGGGCTTTCTGCGCTGGCATCCAATACCATACTGGCCATCGAGGCGAGCCCCACTGAGTCTTTGGTGATATTGGACATATCCGGATTATGTTTCGCTGTAGAGAGTTTATAGACACCGATCGCCCTACCGTGTTACATAGTCTTGGAGTGCAGTGGTTAATTGTACTATGGTTTGCCAGTGGATGGCCCCCCCTCTGGATGGCCAGGTTCGTGATGACGCAACAACCGCGCACTCCCCTGCCCTCACAATTATACGGACACCTACGTTTTCGTATGCCTGCTCTCACCTCCAAGTGGAATCAGAGCGAATGAATGAGTTGTTGAGGAGTCCCTTCTTTCCAGGGGTTTGATGGCAATGTCACACCCGAGAGCACGATGGCCACGACAGACGCGAGCGGAGTTTCTAAAATAGACCTGTCGATCGCTGAGGAGCCACACGACACTGAGCAAGAGTTCAGGCCCCGGCCCTGTGAGCCGAGCGGACCTCTGAACCGGCATCGTCACATTGATGTGACGAAGTGTTACCTGGCCATCAAGAGGGGGGGGGGACCATCCACTGGTAAACCATAGTATGTGAACGCGCAATACGCCAGACGATGAGCCATGGTCATGATAGCGCACAGTGGCTGAAGTAGGTAAGGTCGTAGAGCGATAACGCGCAGCTGACATCGCCGGCCTCACGTGCATCTAACGCTATTTCCATATACTGTGATCAACGTAGCAGAACCAATTCGGAGTGAGCAACTCAGGCTACTTATTAGCGGTATCTCTGCCCCTCGCCACTCCTCAGACATCCAATGCGCAGATTTGACAGCGACTTTCATGTACCGGCGCAGCGATTGTCAGGACGACAACGGGCAGGTGCCAGCCACGCCACTCTGCGCCCGTTTTCCCCTGCGGTGATAGCCGTCCACGCACAGTTGTGTATAGCTGTCGCGCGTTGTCTCCCGACGACCGAGATGGCGTGAGCACGTACGCTCGAGTGACCGCGTCGCATCGCAGAAGCCATCACATGTGCACGCCATCGCATGTGCACACCATCGCATGTGCACACCATCGCATGTGCACGTCCTCGCCGGACTGGCAGAATAACCGTGCTATCTCGCTCTCGAACTTCCTCTCCTCGACGGGGGCAGGGCAGACGGCCAGCAGCCGCATCCAGAGCGCGGGGCTCGGTAGGTCAGAGTCCGCGGCGCGGTAGGCCAGAGTCCGGGGCTCGGTGGATCGCAGTCCGCCCTTCGGTAGTCCGCAGTCCACGGCTCGACTTGGGATTAAAAGGCGAATGGGCGCGACAACGGGACGGCAGCGGTAGAGCCGGGTGTCGAGCGTCGAACGTCGAGCGTGCGCGGCGCGATGGCCCGCAGGACATTCCGCGTGCCAACGCGGCGCGTCGTGCCAATGCGCCATGACACGGCCTTAGGTGTGTGTATGTGGGGTCACGCACTCTGGCGGGGATGCACGAATGGGAAAACGCGAGGGCGTCAGGATGTCACGCGTCACCATCCAAGAGCACAGGACGCCGCGGCGGCGGGTGCAGGTGCTGCGAGCGTGTCGGGGCTGGACCCGCAGGAAGCCCCGGGCGGCGGCCCTGGCGCCGGGTTGAATTTGGTGGGGGTTACACGGACCGAGGGCTGACGCAAATGGACGGCGCGTTAATGTCAAGGATAGGGTATCGCCAGGGCGTCGTCCGCAGTTTGGCGGTGGTGCGAACCATGCACCTTGTGCGGGGCGCCTGGGCGACGGAGGCGAAAAAGCGCATAAAGGTGGGACCGGCGGTATAACGAGCCGTGCGAGGGTCAACGCGACGTAGGACACGTTTCAGTCGGAAGATTGAGGGGCCCGACAATTGCATATACTCACCAATGTCAGATCTCGCCATCGGAGATCACGAGGGGCAGAGGTGCTTTGACAGGGTCACCGCTCGTTCAAAGCCACGCATGAAGCGCAGTTGTATGTCGACGAGTCATATTCCACCACGTTGGGAGTCGCCGTGCTGGTCATCTTTTGAGAGGCGGAGTCAAAGATCTAGCGTTGAGTTTCGGAAGATGTGTACAGGCTGCAGACCGATGGTTGATGTAGGGACAGGAGTGAACGAGATGCCTGCAGCAGGAGTCATCGACTTTGACAGGAGGATAGGCCCTCGGCGAAAGCTCTGCGAACAACCAAATTGTTGGCCAGCCCTGGGTATATGACGTAAGAGCAGTCTACGAATCCAGAAAGCTGGATGTGTGAACACCGTCACGAGATCACTGGCCGAGCGCTGAGAAGAGGAAAGCAGAGGGTGGGGACGGAATCGTGCAGGAAAGTAGTTAGTCGGAGCTCCGAAGCAAAGACGTAACCCACCGAGAGCGACAGATTATTTCCAAGCGACGCGGTGCGGACCAGCATCAAGCGCGTTCGTGATAGGGTATTCGACAATACTGTGCGCTCCGAATTCCTCCCTGAACTATCATCAATAGTTGTGAAAGGAAATCCGCAGCAGAAGAAATCCAGCTAGGACACCCTGGGGGGTCCGCTGAATTATCGGTTCGAGACGGTTCCGTCGACTCAACGCCATCTTTGCGGGGTGTCTCCTCCTTGTGAGTTCGACTTCCATTCAGCCCATTTCAGCAAATCTCAAATTTGTCGTTTAGCGCTCTGTACGGCCCCGTGCTTTATCGGCCTCGTGTCTAGTTTGGTCTCGTCCATGTTGAGCTTCAATCTTACGGGGTGTATTTATACCTTCTACCCTTGCCACCGCATCTATCCGCTTGCTATAGCTTTCACTTTTCGACAGCACTGATGGCACAAGGCCGAGCTGAAAACACTGACGTACTGCTCGAGGGGTTACAGACGACGCTCAAGACTTCGAGTGATTTTCTTACGCTCACGCAAATCCCAGGGTTGGGCGATGCCGTCAATGCCATTTCAGAGATCATAGGAATGATTGCGGTATGTCTGGATGATTCCCAGGAGTAGTGTTTCCTGACTGATTTGTTGAGACTATGAGAAGGAACAGCGCCGTGGAGCGGCAGCTTGTGCAATGTGTCGAATCTCTAGCACAGTCTGTCTCGGATACTGTCACCGGTATCCAGCAACGATGCGAGAAGGAGCAGCTCTCACCCCGCGCGTTGAAGATACCAACCGAGCTGAAATCGCGAATCAAAAATCTCATAAAGTTTGAGGCAGTTCTTCTACCGTATTTCGCACAATTGACTTCCGTGAATAGCAAGCTACACTCTATCAAACACAACACCAAAGAGATGCGAACAGAGTCCAGCGACGCGAAGAAGATTTTTGGTGCCAAGGTATACACCGACAAGTTGAAGGACCTGGAGGAGGACCTGAAGAATGCAAGAACCGATTTTGAGGTCCGTCTACTTGCTTCTCTCGTTGATTGTTCGGTGTCTGATAGACATCATGATTAGCTTCAAGGTCAAATTCGCATTGAATCACTCGTCGATGGCATGTTCTGCACGATGAACATGGATCAAGGCGACGTATCGGTATGATCCCGCTCGTAGACTCACTTGAGTGCCTCGCGAGGCTGACACAACATTATGATCTCAGGCTTTGGTGCGGCTACTGATTGACAAAGGTTAGTACCGCACTTCTAAATCCACGACAAAAACCATACATTCAGGATGCTAGACGTGCATGAAACACTTGATAAACTCAAGCCCGCACTCGAAGCCGGATACCGCTCAAATGTTCATAGCGCCAAGGCCCAGCATCTCGAAGGCACTCGCGTGGATCTCATCCGCGAGATCTATGATTGGGCTACAGCTTCCCCCAATGCGCCAAATCATCCCATACACATTCTCACAGGTGTCGCAGGCGCGGGCAAGTCCACGATCGCGTCTCATATTGCGAAACGCCTGGACGATGAAGGGAGATTGGGCGCTTCGTTTTTCTTCGACCGCGGCTCGAACGGACTGAACACAACGCATTCCGTGTTTACGACGCTTGCGTATCAGCTTGCGCAGCAGCAACCAGTGGCCGTCATTCACCATTTTGTCGACGCTGCTCGCTCGTATCTTCAAAGAGGACCCGACCAGCAGATGAAATACGCACTAGACGAGCTCATCTTACGTCCACTGAAAGCTACGCGCCCGACTCGCCCGGTCACCTTAGTCATCGACGCACTCGATGAGTGCACTAAACGCCCGGAGGAGCTCGTACCCCAGGTGCTCCGTCTGCTCTCCAATATGGGTTTGAATACAGATCTTCCTTTCCGCATTTTCATCACCAGTCGTCCGGAGTACTATATCGAGGAGGCTCTGAGATCGGCGTCGTTCTCCAAGGATAGCCATCGCTTCAGGCTGCAGGATGTCCCAAGGCATACCGTTGATGCCGATATCCAGTTGTATCTCGAACACAATTTAGAGATGATACCGAGTGTAGCAGCACAGCTGGTCACTCTCCCCTACGCAATTCCGACGCTGGTGAAGAGAACCGAGGGTCCTCTATCTTTGCCTCCACAATCATCAAGCTCTTTCAGCAGGGCCCGGAACACGCTCGTGAAATCGTAGACGAACTCGTCCATAATCAACCCTTGCATGAAAACTCCAACCTCAGTCAGTTGGACCGGCTCTACCTAGTCGTTTTGCAGACTGCATTCCAAAGTGATGATCGCCACGCTGACAGCATTCGTGCTGTCCTTACCTGCATTACACTAGTTCGGGACCCCCTGGCGCTCGACGCATTGGCATCGCTCATGCGCATCTCCGTGGAGGCCATGTTTCTTGTCATCAATCGTCTTGCCTCCGTCATTCTTCTCGAGATAGACGTCGAGGGAAAATGGCATATCCGGCCGTTGCACGCCAGCTTTTCTCGGTTCCTTGCTGACCCATCTCGTTGTACAGATCAGAAGTTCTGCATAGAGCCTTCGATCCATCATGAACGCATGGCTTTTGCGTGCCTCGTCGTTATGCTTGAACACCTATATCGAAACATTCTGCAATTTTCGGATCCCTTAACACTCGATAACGGCGACAGCGCACAATTTTACGCACGCGTTGACAGGTTCCTGCCGTTGCATGTTCAATATGCGAGCACCCACTGGGCGGTCCACCTTTGCCACGCCGCGTGTACCGTGGATTTGGTGACCTTTCTCGAGGCATTCATAGCGCAAAAGATTCTATACTGGTTTGAGGTTCTAAGCTTGACTGGAATGCTTTGGGATGCACCGAAGGCATTGCTTGATGTCCGCTCGTGGTATCGCGTAAGTGGTGCTTGTGTTGCCGTCTATCTCGAGAAGAATGACGGAGGCAAGACGATTGATGACAAGAAACATGGCCTCCACGGAGATGCGCATGAGCGATGCCAATGCGTCGAGCGCCAGGGGGTCCCGAACTAGTGTAATGCAGGTAAGGACAGCACGAATGCTGTCAGCGTGGCGATCATCACTTTGGAATGCAGATTATATCAATCCTGTTCATCAGCGGTACCGGAACGACAACAATACCCTCGACTTGCTCCTCCGCGATGCGCATCGTTTCATTCTGGAATACTTTGGGCCCATCAGCGTCTTCCCTGAGCAAATATACGTCTCCGGGCTACCGATGATGCCGTCATGTCCCTTGCTCGACGTCTATCTCCAACATAACCAACCGGTACTCGTCGAGATGTTGACCCCTCGCGCTTCTCAATGGGATCCCTGTACTAGAATAATTGGAGGCTGTACTAAAGTGTCCAGTGTGCTCTACTCGCCTGATAATCTCCGGCTCATCGCGGGATGCGATGACGGTGCGCGGGTTTACGATGCCTCTTCCGGTGTTTTGCTTCACACTGTCAGTTACAATGACGCGGGCCTCATACTCTCAGACGTATCTCCTGAGGGATCTGCCTTTGTAACGCACTCTGAGGACTGGTCTTATAGCCCTCGACGTATAGGACCCATTCAAATCGGGAACCTAGCAACTGGTACTCTACGTTGTGCCATCGAATGTGAAGATACCTACGAGGAAGCGTTCCTCGCATTCTCTCAAGACGGAGAGCATCTGTTGGGCGTATTCTCCTATCTTTGTGATCTCTCTGCAATGTCTCAAGACCGCCGCTTCGAAACAGTTGTTTGGGACATGGATTCCGGATCTATAGTGCCACACACCGGCGCGCAAGTGTTCGCTGCTTACTCGCGCAATCCGCATTTTCCATGGAGGAAGGACTCAATACTGGACACTCTTGGCTCACACGATATACAGATATTGGACGTCCAGACTGGATCTATCCGCGCTGTGTATACAGTCACCCAGCCATACCGAGCAGTTTTCCGCCCAAGCTATCTAGATCAGGTCATCGCCACCATTTACGGCGGGGCAGTACTGATCTTGCACTTTCCTTCGATCCAGTGTACACAAGAGGTGAAGTGCACAGGCATCCTGAAAGAGATTGGTCTTAATGAACCCTTCGAAAACCGGCTGGGGGGACTGTCAAAGGACATCGACATAGCCATGTCCCCTTCGGGAGACTATCTTGTCGTGCTAACTGGGTCATACGCCTTTATTCTGACTCTGTTCACCGAGAGAATGTGCCCATGGGCTTCCGAAGAAGATTCTTGTATGCCAAGCTTTTCGTCTGATGGGAGAAGTGTTGTCTTTGTAAATGATACACGCGGTGCAATACGCGTCTGGGACCTGCCTGCGGCTTACATCAAGGAAACACCTTTGCCTGCTATTACCGGAGTCCCCACGTAAGTACGTTCCACGCAAGACATGTGGAGAACACGTCGAACCGAGGATCGATTTACTGCAGTCTCCCTCTCCACACTCCAATCATGTCTCCGGCTCGATTTATATGACGTGCAGGCCACGAAGAGACGACGGGACGAATCTGCACAGTGTACGGCAATCCATGTGTGAAAAACACTAACGATGACAGGCAAAGGACCCTTTATGCACTTATCGAACCAGGGGCATCTGCTTGCCATCACGCTTCTGGACCTCGACGGCGACCAGTCGTATCTACAACTTCTCCGTGTTCCTTCGTTAGAGAGCGTGACTCGCATTCCCTCCCTTCGCGACCAACCACCTCATTGTGTGAGGTTCTCCGACGACGACGGCAGAATATTCTTGAAGTTCACGACGAATTCAGAAGAGATCACCCGTGGGTATGACTGCTCAACGGGGTGCGAGATTGAGTACTGGGACGATCACCCATGCTCAGATCGCCCACCTGTCTTACACAGACGATACCCACTCAAGCCGCGCTTTGATTATGAGGATGCTTGGATATCTGGCCGTCAGCGCCCCAAGCTGCTTTGGATTCCAGGGCGAAACAAGTCCCTGCCACCCACAGGCCAGGAACCCTGTCGTGTTGAGATGTTAGCGTCCACACCGGTCATGATCATCCTTGGGCCGCGAAGAGAGGACATGCTCGTGTTAGACATATCAGGATTACTTGCACGTCAGCCTAGCACGTAGTATTCTGTACGTATAGAATTAGACATACGCTTTCGGTAGCCAATTATCCGCTCTACACTATCATTTCGCGTTACCAATCGCACGCCGTTGTTCTGTACGGATATTTGAGTCGGATATTATCGGCGCGAATCTCTCTCTCTCTGGTATCACAAGAACGTCAGCCACGCTAAACCGGATGGGTCTTCGGCAGCGTCTGGCAGAGACCCCTCGAAATTATCAAAGTTTGACAGGACTTTGGTGGGCCGTTTGGAGGGGAGCCAACTTGGCGAGGCGCACCGGATTCATGACGAACTACCATTCACGCCGCGCTCCTTTGTGGGATGCGCCGTGTACAGTAGACGCACTCCTGCAAATTATCTCACGGTAACTCACGCACGCCATCAGCAGATGCATGTCTGCGAGTATCGCGGATTGAAGGATACGGACCTCGTTGTGCGGCGCACATTGTGCAGACACGCAGTAATAGCGCCGTGTGTGGCAGAAGCCCGGCTGACTTACGAGCGCACGCAACGAGGCGTTGGAACTTGGAAGTACAGTGGGTACGTATGATAGTAGATCACATGTTCCCTTGTGTTTACTGGCGACAGGTTGTGTCAAACACCGTTGATTTATATCGCTTCCAGTCTCGATCCCTGCCAGAACGCCCACACGAGAAACCTGCTTTGCAAAGTGGGGAGCGGGAGATGAGGTGTACGACGAAGAGGCGAACAGGTATAAGAAGCTGCGATACAAACTACCAATACGAGCGCCGTCTCGTCAGCTCCGTCACAGACTGAGTCCGACCTCCGAGTACAGGTATCGGCTCAAGCTGAGCGTGACTGTGAGGGTTATGGCAGGGGCCGGTGCACGGGGTGTGGGGCACTTCGGCGTATGCGCAGTCTCACACGTCTGGCGGGGGGCAGGGGGCCGCGCAGACACCGAGTGGCCGGAGTGCGCCGCTCGGTAGGTCGGAGAGCGCGCGCTGATTACGTACGTACTAGATCGAGTGAACGAGAGTGCCGAGAACGGGACGGCAGCGGTGGGTATGGGTGCTGCGAGCATGTCGGCGCCGGACCCGCAGAAAGCCCCGGCGCCCGCACGGCGGCTTTGACGCGGGTTTTCAATTTGATGGGAGTTTCGCGGACTAGGGGCTGGCACGGATGGGTGGCGGGTTAATGTTCACGACAGGATACTATTAGGGCGCCGTCCGAGGTGTAGCAGCCGCACGCGGGGGCACGCGCCGTGCGTCTAATGCGAGGCGGCGAGGCGACGAAGACGAAATGACGCATAAGAGCGAGGGTGTTCACGAAGAACCGGGGATGTAACGGGCTATGAGACGGTCAATGCGACGTAGGACATGCCTCTGCTGGAAGATGGAGGGGCCGGAAATGCATATACTCATTGGCGTCGAATACCACCATCGGAGATCACAAGAGGTGGAGGTGCTTTGACGGGATCACCGCTTGTCAAACATCGCGTGCGATACGCAGTAGTATGTAGATAAGTCATAACCCACCGCGTTGGGAGTCGCCATGCTGGTTAATCCTAGTGGGGCGGAGTCAAAGGTCTAGCGTTGAGTCTCCAAGGATGTATGCAGGTCGCCGGCGGATGATGTAGGGACAAAAGTAGCCGATGTGCCTGCGGTAGAAGCCATCAAATTAAGCAGGAGAATAGGCCCCCGGAGAAAGCTCTGCGAATGACCAAGCTATCGCAGATTGTTGGCCAGCATATGACGTAAGAGCAGCCCACGTATCCAGAAAGCTGGATACGTGGACATCGTTACGCGATCACTAGTCAAGCGCTGAGAAGGAAAGCTGCGCAAAGCAGAGGGCAGGGTCGGGATCGTGCAGGCCATTGGAGCTCCGCGGCAAAGAGGAGACAATGTCAGACGTAACCCACGGGGAGGACAGATATTTTCCACACGATGTGGTGCGGGCAAATATCAAGCACGTTCGTATTAGCGTGACTCTACAAGACTGTGCGCTCTGTATTCCTCTCTTAAGAGTCGGTATGTACCACCAATGGTCGTGAAAAGAGAACCCCAACAGAAGGATTTCTCGCGAATAACGCGAAGCGCCGACATTGCATGTAGCGGTCACAGCGCTTCCTTCCGCGTTGTAGCAACAACAGGGGGAGGCACGAGCGTAGATCTGTAGCGTAGTACGGTCCTCAGTGCACGCTCGGGAGAGCAAAGACTAAATGTATATTAGCATACCTGTAGCGTAGTACAGTCTAATGACATGGTAAGCTACAGTATGCGGACATGACAGACAACTTTGCACTTACCCTCAGTGCACGCTCAGGAGAGCAAAGACTGAGGGTCAAGATGCAGGCACTCAGGTAAAATAGCTACAGTCCGTTAGGGGCTAGGTACAGTAAGGTACGTACGCGCTACCGTAACGGGTTATGATGGATACGATACTGACAGCGTGAGCGTCGGGGCGAATCAGAAAGAGCGCCGCGCCGACGCAGTAAGGCGCGGCGCGGGAAGGCGGAACAGCGTGAACTAAAATAAGAAACACACGGGTATGGCGCACAACCGGTCCCGGAGCGCGGCGGACGACGCACGGATTGTCGTGCTCCAACATACTAGGCGTTCGATACGGCAGCATAGCGCTTTGAGTAACGGGGGAATAGCCGTAGGGCGGCATGAATGCCCATGGTGCTGCCACTTGGTCTGAGAGTTGAGGGTCCCGTGAAAGTCTCCCGGTTGTTTCACGCAGTCCGGTAGCGACAAAAAGCTCCCTTAGATCGTCCTCTGCGTCCTGCTTGACTATACTATGGACTTGGTGTTTCCCATGTCGACCGATGACATTCCCGCCAGGGAGGGTCTTTGCAGAAAAGAGAGGAAGCTCGATACGTGAACATCATTACAATATCACTGGCCGAGCGCTGAGAAGTGGGACATTTTCCAAAGCAGAGGGTGGATATGGGATCGTCAAGCCCATTGGCTACTCGGAGCATCTGTTGCAAGTGCTTCCAAGGCAAGGAGGTGATGGTATCAGACGTGTACCACCGAGAATGACAGATTATCCTCACACGACACGGTGCAGACCACATAAGGCGCATTTGTGCAAGCTAAGGATAGTGTGATCCGACAATACTCTGCGCTTCGTATTCTGCTTTGATAGATGGTATTGATTAACGATATCCCTGAAATATTCACCAGCAGGAGAATTTCTGGAAAAGTCATCATTGCTCTACTCGCGCGTCATGAGACTCCGCCCTCTGGGTATTGGTGGAAGTTGCACGAATCGGGAGTGGTGCAGCTGTATGGCTTGGGTTTGGTAGCCACATGCAGAAGTTCGACAGTCGAACGTGTCATTTGCGAGGAGGTTGGCTGATGGAGCCAAAAGAGATCTTGCGAGCGGGAGTATGTCGCAAGTTGTGAGACAGCTCTGTTAGGAGGATATGACCGATGGGTAAAAGACAGAAGTGTTGCAAGTCGTCGGCCAGCATGCCCTGCGTCCACCCGAATGCCCACACGCGAAACCAGAGTCTCGCCGTGTGATATAGCGCAGACTCGGCATGAGGTGCATCTGTGATAGCGTGGATCAATCATCCTTTGCGCTGTGTTTCGTCACGGTCACTATCACCCACCATCGTGAAAGGAGATCCGCAGCAGACGGCTTCCTCGCAGAGCCATCGCTGTGCTCGCGCATCACGCGACTGCGCCGTGGGGGGATGAGTGGGGGTTGCACGGATCGGGCATGGGTGATGCGTCGATGAGAGGATGCGGGCGAGGCGTTTGGCAGCGATATGCGTCATCTGCGAGGAGGCTGACCAAGCAGGCGAGTTGACGCGAAAAGGCGGGAGAGTGTGCGAGAGAACGGGCGTGTGACGAACGACGCCCGGGTAGGCCGCCAATCGGACAGGGATGCAGGCCCAGGATTGAACGACTGTCGCCATCGGAGGTCGCAGGAGGCGGGCAGACCGGCGCTTCAAGTGCGATACAGTAATGGGCTGTCGCGTGTATGACGTCAGCTGGGGGGGGGGGAGGTCGCACATGAGATGCGAATCTGGCGTCGGCGACCTGAGATGTGATCGGAAGGGAGGTGGCGCTGGCGCTGAGCCGTGCGAGCCCTGCCGTCCTCCGACCCTTGCTGACTCTGCCTGCGACTCCTCCTCGCCTCTCTCTACTGCGACAAACGACGGCGACGCTGACATCACGGACACCGGCACCCTCTCCCAGTATCCGCCTACCAACACCTTCTATAACCAACCGCGCTGCGCCCAGGTCGCTCCAGCTCTCTCTGCTTCCGTCTTTGGCAGCCTCCTCGTCCTCCCTCAGCCATCCGGACCCATAGCATCCGAGCGTCACCGTGTACCGTCTACACAGAGACGTGCAAATAGGTGCGTACACCCGATCACTATCTTCATTCTCCTCGATCGCGTGTTTCTGCACTTCTCCTTCTTGCGCCGCCTCGCCGTGGGTGCGTCCCTCCATTCGAGCCCTATCGCGTGCGCCCCCGCTGTTCTCCATCCTATCCTGTCCATTGACCCTTGGCCCCGCTTGTCATGACCGCACCCGTGCTATCTGTCCCTGCCGCTCCCGCGCCCTCCCGCGTACACCAGTGCGCGCCTACACGCCCTATACACGCGTCTACGCTGGTGCCATGTCCGATCACCGTGGGGTGCTCAGCCAGCGACAGCGACGGGGATCACAGATCATGCTGTGTCCGCCCGTGGGCCTCTGCGCGCCCAGGCCGCGCGCGTCGACGCTGTCTGCGCCCTCCGTTCTTCGTCCACTGGCGTCACGATTTCAGAGCCATCTCGTGCTCGCTGGGCTCCGCGTCGCTGCAGCCAGATGGCAGCGCCGCATTCCCTCTGCTCCCCTCGCCGTGCACGCAGGCCGCCGCAGTCCCGTCCAGCGCACGCACGGCACCCCGCGTCCCCGCGCCCACTCGGAGTCGCGAATTCGTCAGGGGCGACGCTCCGCGCTTCTCGGGGTTCCTGCCGCAGCTCTATTCAGACGCTGCATTGCGGGCGCTCATTCTCACTGACCGCATCTGCCCCGCAGGACGCAGGACGCGCACGCAACACGCGACACGCGACACACCGCATCCTCCGCCGCGACCACCACACGCGCGCCGTTCGCGGTTTCTATCTCATCGGTATCTGTCCAGCGCACGACAGGGCCTGCTCGAGGCGCATCGGCATCCACCCCCAGCGCACCACACACCGCACATAGTTCCAGCACCGACCGTAAAGATGGTCACATCACAGCCGTCCTCAGCCCGCCCGCCCTCCTCCATATCCACATCCACATCCCCAGCGCCCCCGCCCCACCCCCATCCGCTGCGAAACCACCCATCTCAACTCCCCCACCCACACCTGCACGCCCCGCCTCCCGCGCCCCCGCGCCCATCCAGACCCTCCCCACCGAGCTCCTCGAGCACGTCCTCCTCCTCGCCGCCCCCGCGTCCCCCGCCGCCCCCGCCGCCCTCGCGCGTACCTGCCGCGCCTTCGCCGCCCTCGTCTACGCCGCCCCCGACCAGCACCTCTGGCGCGGGCTCTTCCTCCGCGCGTGGGACGACCCGCGCGCGCTGTCTGGCGAGGCCGGCGTCAGTAGCCGCGAGGGCGCGGGCGCGGGCATCGACTGGGGGCGCAAGTACCGGCGGCGCGTCGCGGCGCAGCGCTGGTTCGCGTCCGCGCGGGCGGACGCGGCGGGGGCGGGGACGATGGGCGCGCGCGACGTCGCGCGGACGGCGGGCGCGCTCGAGGCGCTCGTCGTGGCATCGCCACCAACATACTCGCCGCGCAGCTTCGCTGTCAACCTCGTCTCCGACCCCTTTGCCCAGCACGCCAACGCCTGCGCCGTCAATGCGCCCCCGCACGCCAGCAAGTGGGCGCTCAGCGGCCTTACCCGTGCCCCCAGCATCAGGCCCCCGCGCACGCGCCGAGCAGCATGGGGAGCTCGCAGCGCGCGCTCAGCCCCCACAACACTTGCGTCATCAAACTGCGCCGGTCCCGCGTCTTACATCATAGCAGCGGGGCGATCTAGTGCGTGCGTCTCGCCTCTGTCCTGCGCCGTCTCGCTGACACCACTGCCGTCTTTTCCCTCACAGGATACATTCATATGGTGCATCATAAATTATCTACTCGGACATATGGCTTCCGATACTCGCCTGCAAACTGCCCCGACTCGTCGCGCTTGCCCCACGACTGCCGCGCATCTAGACGACTGCCCCCGACCGCGCCTACGTGCAGCCAGCGCTGTGCGCGCATCATGGACTATCCGCGCATAGGCTGCGCCGTCAAAGTGCGCCGGGCGTACAACTCAACGGCGGCCGTCTCTGTTCCGCGTCATCTCACACCCGCCCCCGACCGTGCCTGCATCCTCCCGCTCTCATTGCGGCGACAACGACATGGGTCGTCCGCATCGTCACGGCCAGACGACTTGGGTAAGCCAGCGGGCCATGACGTGCAAACGGCGGGCACGCGGGTAAGATGCCCGCTTCAACACGCGTGTTGTAAAACTCATGATCGCCCTCATCCGCGCCCTCACACGCACAGCTGCCCGCAGATCAAGATTCCGGCACACGTGCTGCGGCCGCGCTCGCTCTTCTCGTTCGACGGCAGCGCTGAGAAGGAAGCAGATTCAGCGGTGAGCCACCCGCGCTACATCCCTACCATTAGCTGCCCGGGTGAGTTGCCGATCCCCCTCCGCGTATGCCCTGCATCCCCCGATCATCTCCCATCAATCTCATCAGCCAATCAGCCCATTTCCCACCCCGCGCATCTGCCGCTAACTTCCACCCTCAGGTTCGTTGCGTGATCGCGGACTCTCAATTGCTAGCGCGTCTGCTCCTCCCGCGCGCTCGTGTCCCCTCTCGACGCACACGACGTCAGCATTATTATCCGGTTCCGTACAAATCACGGCCTCTCACCCTCGGTCAAGGCTCAGCATAAGCCCACGGCGAGAAGGGCTGGACGCGTCCGAGCGTCACCTCCCTGGAGCACAGCCAAACATCACGCAGGCGGCCGCGCCATGATCGTCCGTCTGCTCCCGCATCCCCGGCGTCCATCATGGCACGCAAGATGTGAACGCCTACGCACCAAATGCTGCGGTAAGTGGTTGCGTTTGGAACCATAGCCGGTCATTCACCAGTAGGCCCGGACGTAGAGTGCGATGTTCTGACAGGCCAGCCGTCAGTTTCCACGCGACCACGAACCACTTAACGACCTACCACTTGCTCGCGTTGCCCAGTCTACCCAGCTGCGGCAACGGCCCCACGCGCTCACGGTCCTCATTGACATCGTCCCTGAACATCATCAGCCCGGTCAGCTCACCATCATTACGCGCGCGCAGCACTCGCCCCACGTACCTGGTATGTGGCGTCCCCCAGCCGTCACCTAGACCATCCCGCAAGATTGACTGATACGCACTACCTCGGGGAATCGCCTGCAGCACACCTCTAGCGGCGTACACAGTGAGCGGCGCGATATATCACTCTGCAACATGACGGCACTTACCAGACCAGCATCCGTGGTGGACAGCGGGCGGGTGAGACGAAGCCTGACAGCGGGCGAGCGAGACGAAGTCTGACAGCGGGCGGGCGAGACAAAACCTGGCACAGCGGAAGCCGAGTCATCAACAGTCGAACCACACCCGCTTTTAATCCCTCGCACACTCTCCCGACCCGTCGTCATTCCCACGACTGCTGCCTGGACACCCCACCCAGGCGCGGCTGCCCCTGTCTCGCATCAGCCGCCGCGTCGCTAAGCTATTACTCACCCGATCATGACGACTCATCGCCGCATCCCCGCCCGTGTACCCGGGCGCGGTCATTCTGCCTGACGTGGATGGACGCACTCACCGGCGTGTGCTCCCTCTGGCTCTACCGGCTGCAACACTCCAACATAAGCCGTTACCCTTATTGCTACGGTAGCGATGCCCGTGTCGCACACAGTGTACCTGCGCAATTGATGCCGCGCCCGTATCCGCGCAGCGTCGGGTGCTAGAGCGACGCGCAGGATGCCCCGGTGCGAAGATCCAGCATTGGCATTCTGTACCTGGTCAGACACCATCGGTAAGGAAAACAAGGCAAATGGCGACACGCACAGCACCGCGCTCACGTCATCGCGGCACGGATTTGCACATCCCGACCACAGGAGGGGCTGACGACGCCTGTCTGTCAATTAAAACAAATCAGACGGGAGAGCCTGCCTGTGCCTCCATGTTTCGGATGCGAAATCACGTCGCTCTACTCGTACGGCACCGCGCGATCACAGCGCATCAGTGAGCTTGGTGCAAATCCCCGGCTTGGCGGTCGCGACGGTGCGGAAAGGCGTGGAATCCGCTGAACGAATGTTCGGATGAACCGCCGTCTTACGGCAGAGTGCTGTAACATCAATCTGCGCGGTGAAACCAGCGGGAGCTGCCATATGGTGGCGGTTATGGTACGTATTCTATTCCAATTGATGTGACATGTTCACGCCATGGGCAGCGTCGGGGGTGGGATGCATGTGCGCGCCATCTTCCATACTCGGTCAGGACACGCTGCCCATGCCATCGCGCGCACTCAGCCGTTGTGTGCGCCCGCAGCATCAGTAGCATTACTACGAACATTTACGGAAATCTAAAATATATTTTCATGTGTGACACCAGAGCATGTGGCGCATAGACGCAGGGCTGAAACGGACCTTTGTCGTGCTGTAAATAAAAGCAAAAGCTCACTATGATGGATTTCTGTACAGTCGCACTTTCTGCCCGCAAAATGTACTACCATTTGTTGTTCTTCGTGCTGTTCTGTTACTGACCTCAGACTCTGTGTAGACTCGCATTGGGCTGTCCTTCATGACTGGCGAGAACCGTCTGCAGCCACTATCACGGCCATGGCAGCTGTACAAAACACGCTATCGATGACTCAAAGGTGCATTGCGTGATGTCATGACTGAAGATCTCTGTATGTATTCTTGCTTCTCACGCTCGCTTACCAATCTGATGCTTGTCTAGGCGAGATCACGGGCAACCGATCCATCAAGATGTCGTGGACTGCAGTCGACTTTCACCAGCGAATTGAGCTGCCGTATGGTATTGCTCTTGTAGGATGGCCAACTGATATTGCCCGCACAAACCTGAGCAAGATCGGGGGATGCACCATCCTCGATAACTTGCTTACAAAGTGGCGAACAGGCAAAATGCGGTTTGAGCTTCTGGATCCAGCAAGGAGACCTGTCAGGCTTGAGCTTCGGCGACACACAAGGAGTGATGCCGGGCACTCGCATGTGTTTGCTGACAAGAGGGAGCCAATGAAGCGGAAGCGACGGGGTCACAAGGTCCCGAAAAGCGCACTGATCATTGAAAACTCTGATGCCAGCTCGGATGCAGATGCCGCTGCCGGTGGGAATATCGGGAGCCAGACAGAGTCAGCTGATGAGGACGAGAGCCAGATTTGCAAACGGCGCAGGCTGGATCTTGATATTGTTGACCAATATGGCAACTCATCAGCTCCGGAAACGATCAAGGATTTCTCATCTGATGCCCGGTCGCTTGCCGAGACGATTGAGGATGCCGATGACTGGGAGTAATACGAGAACATGATTACAGTGATTGTTCCGTACCTAGTACCTACATTCCCATATGCCAGCATTCTGATATTACCTATTGCGACATTGCGAGGGTGCGCATGCGATCAGCACGGACACAAGCATCTCCGGTATGTTGATACATCAGCGCGCAACGTGGAGACACCTGACATGGGTGTAACCGCGTAAATGGGAAACTGGTAGCTACGGTCTCCCGAGTGATGTTTCTACTCCACTCCTCCAACTCCATCGTCTGCCTATGCTCCCACCTGCTCCTTGCCGAGCCACATGCCACCATCCGCAGGTACATCGAGCTTGCGATTGAGCACTGTGCAGAGGTTCACATCTTCCTTCCGTTTGACATCCTGCTGCACAGGGAGGATGTTCCTTTCGATAACATTGATGCCTGCATGCAGCAGCACTCTGCGCTCACGTACTCGGTGCTCAAGCACTACCTGCCCGCCAACGCTGATCCAACTCCACTTATAGATGCTCCTGTGCGCGGCGTCGTGTCGCCCGAGGAGCGGGCAGGCCTGACGGTGAGCGCGGGAACGGCAGTGCTGGACGTGGTGGTGCTGTGTGCGGGGAAGGGCGATTCGCACTACCGAATGTA